CACAGCACCTTTTGTTCTTCTTTATGTTGTGGTTGTGCCTCAGGGAGCAGGAGAGAGCAAGACAGAAGTGTTGCCCAAGGAGGGTGATGGCTGTGGGGAGATGCCAATGACCAGATGGGGAGAACATGAGCTCAAGACTTTATTGTTTGCATGACAAGCTGAACATTTTGCAGACCAGCCACACAGTCACTGCCAAGCTTTTTGAAGCAGTTGGGTTGTAGTCAGGGTGGCATGAGGGGCACAGATCATTAGGATGAGTAATATCCTGTCTTAGACAAACTGCCTGTAAAAAACTGACACATTCCTGGTCATCCAAACCTCTCAACATACCTGAGAGATGTGGTACAGACCTCACCCAGCTCCTCTTATATCCTACAAGGCCAAACTCATGCTGAGAAGGGTCATCTTTTGCAAACCCTTGCTCAAAGGCTTTTATGTGCCTGTAAATTATCCAGCAGCTGATGTCTACAAAGAAAATATAGAGAGGTTTAAAATACAATCTACATGGGCTGTTCTGAAAGGAAGGTGAGGGAAAATGAAGGAATAACAGAGCCTGACAGTTGCTGTGGCTTCCATTTCTCTCCAGGACCTGCTCCAGGGTGGTCCATTGTGGCCCGAGCTGTTGTTTAGATGTGCTTGAGGAATTGGGGTTGGAAAGAAGGTTGTCATCTTTGTTCTTCCAGCCAAAATTATGGCTAATGTATAAATAATTGCCTGAAGCTGCCTTGTTTTGTAGATGTCAGATCCAGGAGTGGAGCTCAGCTGATCCTGCTGGGTCCTTGGCAGGTCGGATGAGAAACACCTGATCTGGGTGGATTAGCTCAGACATCACAGGAGGTGTCACAACACAGAGGTCACAGGGCAGACATGGAATGCTGCCTCTAGACCACCACAATGCTTCTTCATAAACTCCAAAAGGATGTCAGCCAAGAGACATTAAGTCTTCCAGTATCATCTGTAAGCTGAGAGGTTTGGCTGCCTCTAATGCAGGGAGTATCCAGGAAAAATCCTGGTGTTCCTGTGGCTTTCATCAGTAGCAAAGGTAATAGTGTCAGGGCATGACTTGCATGAAGCAGTTTCTTCATTTTCCAGGCTGAAATAACAGTTTGTGCCACCATTAAGTGATCTGTAAACACACCGGTCGGCAGGAAAAAGTGCAATCCCTTTTCTTGGTTTGGGCAAGGCCCATATTCTTGTAGGTTGGGATTTACAAAAGCCATAAGGAAATCGATGCTCAACTCTCACTAAAATTCAGTGAGAATTAGATGCAGAGCTGCTTCCAGTTTGTTCCACTCTCCATTGGTGATCCATCTGCCAAGCAGCCTGTCCCCTGCTCGGGGGTTAGGCACCCATTTTTGCTGCATGACCTTGTCTTGAGCACATGGAATCCCATTTCATGGCAATCAATCTGCAAACCCCGAGTGGGAGCGTTTTGAGAGTAAAATCCCACTTCAAATACAGCCCTGAACATGTTTCATGAGCTGGCAACCCAATTTAGAGATTGGCCTGAGTCGCAAACGAGACCTGGGCCATGTCTGTCTCTGTTATTCTTTATTAACAACCTTGTGATCTCTTCTGGTGCAGACAGGGCTTGCAGACATATTTGAGCAAATGGGGTAAGTGTTAGAAATAGCTTAAAGCTGAATACTTTTCCATGTCAAGAAAAAAGCCTTCCCTGCTGCTTGTTTACTTCTGATTTATTCCCCAGTAAAAAGGGGTGAAGTTTGCTCTTTGTGAGCTCAGCACTGTCTACAAAAAACACCGATTTCAGTGAAGTGTCTGATGTATTGTTGTCATTCTCCCACAAAAGCAGCTGGGGCAGCATGGGAAAAATGATCTCTATGCTTTGGAGGAAGCAGAAGGGTGGGAGAAGCTGGTCTCTCATCTGACAAATGAATTATCATCAAATCAGGGCTGTATAGAGAATAAACTGCTGTTTCCCCCATTACTGGCATTTCACTACCTTACAGTCACTGGCCTGACCATTTAACCAAGTTTTGCTGGGAATGGGAAGGAAAACAAATGCTGGGATGACATTTATTAGGTGTGCTTGTTCAGTCAGTCCGTTTGCTGCTCGGGGTTCTCGCTCTACGTGCTGAAGGGCTGATCCTGCATGGAAGTCAGTGGATGTATTTCTGCTCCCTTGGCTCATTCCATTTAAAAGGAACATGAACAGGCTGAGGAGGAAGAGGAAAGATTGAAGCTAATGAAAGGAATGGGTTTCAGGCAGAGCTGTACAGCCCAGCCAGCTTGTGACCATAAGCAGGTTGTGGCACAGCTGAGGAAAGATCAGGCAGTGGGAAATGTTGCCTAGAGAAAAGGTGTGTTGGCTGCTGAAAAGACATTTCCACACATGCATTTTTATTGCTGTTTCTGTTGTGTGTCTCCCTTGGTGGAGTCTCTTCTTCTTATGTCTCACTGCCTGTCTGCTAAACTGACACCAGAACCTTCAGCCTGCAGAGCTCTCCAGAGAGATCCATTTGCCTTCATGCTGTACATAAATAATCAGGGTAGCAAAAGTTATTATTGGGCTACAAGGCCTGGAGCTCAGATTCCCAAGCAATTGCTGTCATTTAAAGCACATTAAAAAGGGATGGAATGAGCTTTGTGGTGTTGATAAACCTTTTGACAACGACTTGAGTTTCTCACATGATCCAGCCTCCAGCAGCCTTCAAGCAGTGAAGCAAATGCAGGATTTAACATTAGTTGTATCATAACAGAACATATATTTATTTTACCTACCACAGTCTGACAGTAGTATTTTGAATGGAGATGAGGCTCAGCAGGCTTCTTCACCTTGGTCTTCTGCTTGAGGCAGTTAAACCTTCTGTAATCCACTCAATGTGTTCTAAACCTGATATAACAGTAGTTTTCTCCATGTCTGGTGATGTTTTGTTCACAACCACACTGAGATGCTGGAAAACCAGGTTATTATATATAAACTGCTGTTATTATATATATAAGAGCAAGCTCAGCAGCTTGGGGGAGCTTGGGTGGTACACTGGGCAGCACCTCAGCCCTGTTCTCCAAGGGTGCAGCACATGAGCAGTGTCACAGGTTGGGTGGTGTGGCTGTGGTTCACCCCTTACACTCTTCCTTCTTCCTTTAGGGACCAAGTGTGCCAGCAAAGAAAAGGATACCCAGCTTGGCTTGAAGTGGCTCTCCAATTTCTGCTCCAGATTACAAAGGCCAAACAGACATAAGACTCTCCCAGCTGGAAACAGGACCCGAGCAGCGCCATGGCACTGCCCAGCCGGGTTTTGGCCTGTGCCATCCTCGCTCTGCTGTGCCAGCACGTCAGGGGGGGGCTCATCAAGAGAATCATCCGGCACAAGCGGGAGACCGGGCTCAACGTGACCCTGCCAGAGGACAACCAGCCCGTGGTTTTTAACCACGTCTACAACATCAAGCTGCCCGTGGGCTCCCTCTGCTCCGTGGACCTGGACGCGGCGAGCGGCGACGCGGACCTGAAGGCGGAAATCGAGCCGGTCCGGAATTCCGAGGAGCACACGGTGAACGAGGGGAACCAGATCGTCTTCACGCACCGGATTAACATTCCCCGGCGGGCCTGCGGCTGTGCAGCTGCCCCAGACATTAAGGATCTGCTGAGCAGACTAGAGGAGCTGGAGGGGCTGGTATCCTCCCTCCGGGAGCAGTGTGCCAGCGGCGCTGGATGCTGTCCCAATTCCCAGGCAGCAGAAGGTAAGGCAGGCCGGGGAGCTGCTCTTGGGGAAACTCTCGTGCTGGCTGTCCAAGTTGTTTAGAGTAGACACTCAAATCTGTTTAAAGAATGAGCGCAAGTCAACCTGTTAAATTTGAAACATAATCAAAACTGGGAATGTGTTTGGCCCGCGTGCAGGGAACATTCATTCACAGTTTCACGGGTTTGTGGATCTGTGGGTCAGAAGTTGGCCTGGGACACTTTGTAGCTGTGGCACTGAGCATGGACAGCACTTGGGCACGGTGACAGCCTGAGTCGAGATTAAAACTCACACAGTCCAAGCTCTTGGCTCCAGGTTTTGTCCCCTTGAGGAAGCTGCCAATGTAACCATCTTCCTTTCCAAGTTTTCTTTATTAGAGACCAATAAAAATACAGCAGGACATAAGGCAGCAGACAAGCACAAATAGTTAGAGAAGTGGGAAAAAAGGTGTCTGTCCAGCTGGTTTTTAAACTGAGGGAAAAGTCTGGTCATACAGGAGAGGAAACACAGGTCTTCTCGGGAGTGATGTCCCTCTGAGCACAGAGCTGCTCTCACAGCTGCTGATACTGACTGTTGTCTGGCTTTTTATGTTCTGGAGTGAATGGATGAGTAACATTTCATGGTGTATTCCCTAATGAAGTGGTCAGGAAAGCTGCTCAGTCAGTGGAAAGAGGATTTTGAGACGGGAGGAGGAATCCAGCACGCTCATTTACCAAGCAGTTGGCAGGGGCTCTTCCCTGGCATTAGAGCGAATTAAGGGATTCCCGGTAAAACAAATCTTGCTGGAGAAAAAAAGAGATAGTCTCTTTCAAAAACTTTGGTGATTCTGGAAATTATGTCCTGTGGGGAGTGATAAAAGCAGCAGAAACAAACTTCTTAACACCAATTTGTAGGGGTTAAAAAGGGCATCCTTTATTCAGCACGCTGGACGTTCAGAGGAGAGCTCCTCTGATCAAAGCTGCCAAATGGCAGATGGACAGGGCTTTTTATTACACATACTCTTTACATGGTCATTAGGTATTCTTCCTTGCTTTATATGTTTTCATTAGTTTGTTTACATAGTCACACCCCTGTTGGAAGTCCTTCTTTGGTCCTTCTGGGTCATCTTTGTCATCTTGACCTCAGTTCTTGATCAGCCACAGCATTGTTGTGCTTCACCACCAAAATTGTAACATTTGTTCTTGATCTGGGCACACAGAGTTTAGTTTACATCCTGTCTGTTTGAGTTACATCCCTTATCTAATTCTCGAGGACTTCTCTAAGGTTATATTGTTCCTTATTTGGCCATTCCGGGCTACTGTGAATGAAGTTTCAATTTTTCCCATCAGGAGTCAGGAAAATCAGAGCCTTTTTAGGTCCTGTGTGCCACGCTGGCCTAAGGCATCCCAGGGCCAAGAGAGTAATGGCTTGTAAGGCTAAATACCCTTTTTGCCAGAAGAGTTCACTTCAAGGAGGCAGGTGTCACGTAGGAAGTCTTCTCTGCCTGGAAAGTGCCTTTCTCAAAGGAATTAGACGGGGTTTATTTTGTTTCCCTCCTGTATTCCAGAGACAGTTGAAAAGCTCTGTGTCTCTGGTATGCAGAGAGATAAGCAGATGTTGCAGGTCTCTGAAGCCAGTGGGGAGAGCTGGGGGGGGAAGAGGGACCAGCAGGCGAGTCTTGCTCAGGCCCAGCGCTGCTTTGCAGCCCGGTGCAGCTTTTCCTTTGGAAGCTTTTACCGTTCTCGTCTTCAGAACAAACCTTTTCGGGATTCCTTCCGCTGCCTCGGGCGTTTCTGGGGGGTACCCATGTACACCTCACCCCACATGGGTTTTCTGGCTCGTTCTACAGGTCGCCTGGACACCACCCCCTACTGCAGCGGGCACGGCAACTGGAGCGTGGAGATCTGCGGCTGCGTGTGCGAGCCGGGCTGGAAGGGCCCCAACTGCAGCCAGGCCTCGTGTCCCTCCGACTGCAACGACCAGGGCAAGTGCGTGGAYGGGCTCTGCGTGTGCTTCGAGGGCTACACGG